AAAAAAAAAAAACAAAAACCCCAAGCCAAGACAAAACCTCTAATGGTTTCAGTTCCATGGCAACAAGTAAAAAGATAAAACTCCAAGTCTACATATACAACCAATTATGAAACTGGTTTTAAACTAAGGAAACATATGCAAAAAAATCTTTGTGTATTTGATAAAGTCAACTTAATATAACAAAAACAAATTGAAATAGCTTATTAAAAGTGTCCTTATATAAAAATGGCCTTGTGATGTACAGTAAAATGCAATAAAAATTATCCTTTGTTCCTTCCCCCCACCCCCAGTAACTAAAATGGCTACTGTTCCACAACTCTTTATGCTTCTATAAAAAAGAAACGTAATTATGTGATTAAACGTTTTCTAGGTTGTATGCTTGGCGAATGTTGAGGGTGTCCCGGAGCATCAAATCTCGAAGGCGCCAGAGGGCATCTGCCATGGTGGTGTGGGCCCCTTTGCTTTTCAGCCAGTGAGAGGGTAGGCGGCTCTCCTGTTCTTTTGACAAATGGACGTCACGTCTTCGAGCTGAAAATTAAAGTACAAAGAGATAGAAAATGGAATTTTAAGTTGACAAAATTTCCCTCAGTTCTAAGGTCTGATAGACTTACTGAAACACAAAATATTTAATATTTATTAAATATTACAAATTTTAGCTGCAGAATATTTCCAGGCCCATTTCTTATATCATTTTACTAGGCAGTAAAAGATCTGATCTCATATATATATATGAAATGGAGTCTCGCTCTGCTGCCCAGGCTAGAGTACAGTGGCAAGATCTTGCTCACTGCAACCTCTACCTCCTGGGTTCAAGCGATTCTCCTGCCTCAGCCTCCCATGAGTAGCTGGGATTACAGGTACATGCCACCATGCCCGGCTTATTTCTGTATTTTTAGTAAAGACAGGGTTTCACCATGTTGGCCAGGCTGGTCTCGAATTCCTGACCTCAGGTGATCTGCCCACCTTGGCCTCCCAAAGTGCTGGGATTACAGGCATAAGCCACCGCTCCTGGCATGATCATTAATATTTTTTTGTAGGCATCCCTGATATTTAATAATTACTTCAATGTTAACAAAAATTCCTAAAAACGCTGGGCGCGGTGGCTCAAGCCTGTAATCCCAGCACTTTGGGAGGCTGAGGCGGGTGGATCACGAGGTCAAGAGATCGAGACCATCCTGGTCAACATGGTGAAACCCCATCT